AAGTCCCACACAGAGCTTAACGAAACGTCGCAGGGCGGTCGGAAATTGTTACTAATCTTACTCATTGAGAATCGCAGAGGGAAGGGAAAGGGAGGGAGGGCGGGAGGGAGGGAGGGCGTGAGAGTGAGTGAGGGAGACAGCTCAGCTCAGCAATTAGTCCCAAACTCCTCGGCTCCTTGCTGGACCGCCTCTGCCCTGTTGATCTCGTTCGCAGCCACCCCGTCGTCGTGGTGACGGTGGGCGCCTCAAGTGCGCCTGGCCTCTCTCTGACTTGGGCCCCCCCCTTCTCTCTCTCTCTCTCTCTCTCTCTCTCTCCTGCTCCTTCAGCCCCCGCGGTGGTCCAGCTCCCCACCCCGCTCTCCCGTGCGCTCCCGTGCGCTACCGTGCGCGTGGGGGGGGGGGGGGCTGCATCTCCAGCCCCCGTCACCATCCCCTGCCACGGCCCGCCGGATTATAAATCGGCCCGAGCCGAGCAGCTCGGCGTCATTCTGCACACCGTCAGCGTCGGAGCAGCTAGCCAGCCGCACCCCTCTGACACCGTGCCGCCACACCACGTCGTCACACTACACCATCACACTACACCGTCACACCGCCCGTCACGCCGCCCGTCACACCGCTCGTCACACCGCAGTGACAGGGACGCTAGTGCCCGTCCGAGATTGCCCCTGCGGTGCGCGTCGCGTCACATGGACGTCACACCACCGCCGTCACATATCCGTCACACCGCAGTCACTCGGCCGTCACACCGCGGGTCCGCGTGACGGCCGCGCGCGCGCGCTACGCGCGGTGGTGCGCGTCGAGCGAGGCGTCGAGGGTGCGGGACTTGTTGAGTGCGCCGTGGACAGTCAGAGGGTGTGACAGGTGTGACAGCGAGCAACACGGTCGCAGCAGCAACACTCGAGTAAGTTTTTACTATTGTTTCAGAAACAGATAAATAATACTTGGCTTAGGCGAGTCCGTTAGGCGGTCAGGTTAGTCAACCAGAAAAATCTTTCCTGATTTCAAGTACGTTCTGACTAAAGATCAATTTTACTCTCGACGCGAGAAGATAATTATACCTCTCGAT